ATTTAGTGCTAGATACTTTAGTTGAGATTTTTTAAAAAAAAAAAAAATTAATTCACACTGTAGTTAGTCAAATTTATTCAACAAGCTTCGTTTGAATACCAGAACTTAGGTAGATCTAATTTTCAAAAAATTTAATAACCCAATTTGCGTCGCATTACTTTATGAGATGATGTAATATACAATTTACGTCATTGAATTTTTGAAAACCAAATTTACCCAAGTATAAGTAATGAGTTACACTAGATAATTGTCTTACAATAAAAAACATAAAATACATGACTTTAGAGAAATGTAACACTAGTGTTAAACTCTTCATTGGTGATTGTACTACGAATAAAAAATATAAAGTGAAATAGAAGGTATATCATAAGTTATATCTCTATTACTTATTTAACTAATTCTGTCTAAATAGCTTCAAAATATATCATAAGTTATGAGGATATATCTATCAATTCATCATCAACGATATCACAAATAGGGCCCAATAATCTGACAATAGAGGTATCTGATATTTTGCAAAGTTCAGGAGAGGCGAGTGAAACTGTCAGAAACCTCTGAAATTATCCCTAATTTAATTTATACATAAAAGCAGGTCGGGAAGGATTGATCATCAAATACGACTACTACCACTGCCACTACTTGATAAGTTCAAACCATTTTTCTGCTGGACCCTTGTCCCCAACAAAACACGACATATGATGCAAATTTACGGTCTCCGTTACATGAAATCCAATCTAAACCAGAGAAGTCCCACGACGATTTCAACACAAGAACTTGGAAAAATTAATTGCAGACGGTAAATCATTATTATTGTAAGTACTAAAGGTGTAGTCGATCGAGTTATGCATTGCATGCTCGGTTTCTTGATTCTTCAAGATCATACGCGCCTTTCGCATTCCAAAAGCAAGGTCATTAATCAATGAGTGGTCGCCCAGTGCAAGATGTAATGAAAAAAATAAGAACGAAAACAAAAGCAAAAACGAGAAATAGATTATCTGTATACGTATGTATGTATATATGCATGCATGCGAATTACGATAGGGCAGCGCAAATCGTCGTCTCAATTACAACGCGTTGGATTTGATTTCGGAACAGCGACCAAACAGTGACTTGACACGAGAGAGTAGACTGTTACGCTCTCTCCATGTATTATTGTATGCATCTCAAAGCCCAATTTTGTCGACTTCCTGTATGGATATGTGGTCAAGTTAAGACATCATCATCTTTCGTTTTTTGTCACATTTACGCTCTCAACATATTCTGCATTTTTGTTTTGTTTTGTTTTTTCATGCTATTCCTTTTATCTCTTTCGACAGTACTCAAAGACTTTATTCTCCAGTTCTTGAGGGAAACTACCAATCTCGTCTCAATTTGCTGTTTCCGATAATTTTCTTGACATCATATTATTTATTAATTTGTCCTTAAGGGGTGATTTTGCCGGGGCTTCATAAAGAGCACATAAATAATATGCTGCCGTCAACCATCGCCTAAGCACGAAACACTGCTCTAATTCCATGAGAGAAACAGCGTACAACAAATTGTTCATTTGGATTATGCTGCTATCGTCATCGAAGCCATATGAGAGCAGTCCATCACTCCCGCTCCATCTTTTTCATTGAGCTTTTTAGACAATTGTGGCCTCCTCCCGTCAATTTTCAGAAATTACACTTTATCCACCCCTAGTATTACGATCCGCTTCAATTGAAAAGCATTTAAAATATATGTATGTATATATAATATTATTGCAGAAATGGTTGAAATTTAAGAGGCGAAAAAGAAGAATGAGAGGAATTAAAATTCAGGATTTTTAAGTTTTAAAACCTTAACTCGGACCACTAGATCGATGCCTGCCCAGCAATTGACGAGCATTGATTAGTCTACTGTGAGGTTATTGATTTGTGTCTCAAATCCTCCTCTTTTTTTTTTCATTATTTCTTTCCTCTTGTAAGGTTCAGAATTTTATTTAAATGAGAAAATAATTTAATAAAGAAAAAGAAAAAATGAAATTAATTTTTTCATTTTTTCTGAACGCTCAAATGCACCAAAAAAATATTTTATTAAATTTTATGATAAACTTTTATTATAGCAGCGGTGAAATTTTATGAAAAAACACGGCGACAAAGCATCCAAATTGGTCCGCAAATGCGGCACATTTTTTGCTTGGGGAATAATGGAGACTTTTATTGTCAAAAGCGACCGAGAAAGCTTGCAATAATGACAGAAAAGGTGGGGTCAAATCAAACTCGAAGAGATCAGTCGTTTCTGCCAAAAAAATAAAAAAAAAAGAAAAAAGAAAATTCAAACCTGAAGATAAAATCATGACCTATGGGCCCCGATTATTTTAAAGCAGCAAAAAATTGTAAAATCACGTGCGAAGAAGGCATCGAGACTAGAGCAAATCCATCTCTTTCTTGCCTTTTTAAGGCATTATATTGCGGCTCCCTAGGCCCTAATTCGTCATCGATGACATAATTATCTACAGCCTTTTCGGGCATTTTTCCCACCGCCCGCCCTCCCTCCCTCCACACCTTCTTTCCTTCTCTTTTCTTTCATTCATTCAAGTTCTACTCATATTTTTGGACGGTAAACACCAAACACAATAGTGGGACTTGGCCATTTTGCAGTTGTCTGTTGGAGCATAATCGGATCGGTAGGCGCCGAATTATCAGTCCAATTCAAAGATGAATTTAGCAAATCAATTTGATACTATACAATTGGTGCACAGTCCATTTGAATTCCAAATATGGTAAGAAAATTATTAATCTCATAAAGAAAGCACTACATGATGATGCTTCGTATATTTTTGTAGTCTTTTTTATGCATAGAAAAATGTATATGCATACCATGCCATCCTAATAGACTTATTGGGTTTGTTTGGATAGAGTATTATTTGAAGTAATTACTGTAACACTTTTTGTGATGTGATGGAAACTTAATTCTATTTGTAAGTTCGCTTAGCTAAAGAAGTATGCTTAATTCTTGTATTGTATCTATACTTGTATAAGTAGCAGCTCCCTCTCACAATAAATCATTTAAAGTATGTTTATATTTATGTAAGTTCATTCAACTAATTATAAATAAACACAAATATACCACCTAAATATCAACATTAATTTTTTCGTTCTATCTTCCAATACAACCTCTTAGGTAAGCTTTTTTTTTTTTTTTTTTTTTTTTGAAGGAAGGTAAGCTTTAAATCCACATTAGTATTTACTTTTTTTTTTGTTTCTTAATACATACCAAAACCTCTTTTTATTTATTTATTTTTTTTTGTAAAAGTGAATAACATTCTCATCATCGACACACACACACATATATGTATATCAAATTTGCATATATATATATATATATATATATATATATATATATAAATGTATATATGTATGCATGTATATATATATGTATACGTATATGAAATTTGCCTATGTTTAATATCCCATAATTATATGTATAAAAAAAAAATCCCACAATTGTATTCATTAGAGTTTTACAATAATTATAAATAAACACAAATACACCACATACAATCAACATTAATTTTTTCGTTCTATCTTCCAATAAAACCTCTTAGATAAACTTTACATCCACATTAGTATTTTTTTTTTTTTGGTTTCTTAATACATACTAAAAAACCTCTTTTATTTTATTTTTTTGTCAAAGTGAGTAACATTCTCTTCATTGAGATATGTATAATTTCCTAATATGTATTTCTTTTACTTTTACAAATTTGCGCTCACGATCGCTAACTAATATTCATTACAAATTAACTTTCTACACTGTCGCGGCCACTCCCAGTTAATACCATTTCATAAACCACTGCACCCCCTTTACAGTTTGTTACTGGTCCAAGGGTCTTAACTCAGTGAGTCGGTTCCCTTTTTCCAGACCAGACTGTGATTTTTAATTTTCAAATATTCAAACAGGTGACAAACCTTGTTCAATTCTAATGCTCCTTTTTTTTGGTATAAATCACAAATACCCACATTCGTTTTACCGTTTGTGACTAATTTTGTTTTGATCCGAATAGAGCTCCTTGCAAGAGAAGCCCTTCCAATATTGTTCTTTCCATTCCCATAGGTTTCGAGATCCCTTGTGAGAGAAGCCCTCCCAAAAATGTCCTTTCCATTCCCACAAGTTTCATACTTGAGACCAAATAGTTAAGGGATACAAGCCCTTTCCACGTGCACTGCCAATTCGTTGGTATTCTAATGCTCCTTTAATATCCATCCACATCCTTTTTCCTTTTTTTTCGGTCCAGGGGGAACTAAAGCCTTTGAGGCCCATATGAATGAACTTATCCATCCACTTCATATCAGCATGAGCGAACTTATCCCGTTTTTCCATACTTCCAAATACCCAAAATTAGAAGATTCAAGAAATAAATAGGTATATATAGACATATATATCCCTACCAGGCAACTGGCTTCGTAATACAGTCATGAACTTTTGCTACTTGCAAAAACGTTCGAAAATATTGCAGGGACCAGTACTGTAGCCCATATGTGTAAATGCCCAAAATATGAGCTGGGCATTAGAAAGCACAAGCTACAACAATAATAGCTCGAGAAGAAGAGAAGCTTCCTTGCAAGAAAGAGTCTTAACTTGGTAGCCAATGATGACTTGCTTGCATCTGTGTAAGCATTCTCAAGAATTACTTGTTAGTTGCAAGATCAAGCAAGTCTTCTGGCTAACCTGATAGGCTATCGCCTACTCTCATTGCAAGAAACTTTTCACCCGATTCTTTCAATTTGACCGGCCTCCCAATGTAAGAAACATAGAGGTATGATAGTACGTTCACTTGCACTTATCAAATGAACACACAAACATCTGCTTTTCTTGTATCAGATCAACTATGCAAACTTCCCATGCACATGCGCAGTGCTTAGAGATCTCTTTTATTCAAAGGCATATATCTAAATGTGCACATACAAGATCTCTTTTATGCAGGAACCCAGTTAGTCACAATAGCTTAAGATCGAATTCAAAGACCAAGAAATAAACCAGATGTCCTGCTCCACGTATTAGGAGATATATTTGTGTAAGAATTATCATGGTATAGCAATTCCATCTTGACAAGCTTCAATTGTGCAATCAAGTATAGCCCTGCCTACCATATATTAACAAAATGAAGTATTTTGTACATAGCTTTACCCACGTATCACCAATAAACTTCACAACAGTTTTTTCATCATTGAAGTAAATACAGTCTTACTTCAATCAGGTTTTACGAGTAAGAAATTACATTAAAAGAAAAAGAAATTACAGGCACCATGCAAGTTATGCAGGCAGTGCAAAGCTCGCTTGTGTCCACTGAGGAGGATCCATCACCAAACAGGGATCCGGCTTCTCAAAGTCAGCAACCTACAGAAGAAGACACTAGAATCAAAACCAGACTAACAGGCAAATTCCCGCCAACTGTTTCGATACATGAGTAGCAACTAGGAAGTATAAGCAATTCACCTTCTCTCCGCAACTCGGGCAATAGTGATACTTGTGCCAGAGACAATCCATGGAAGGACAAAGAAAGCAAACTCCAAGCATCATAGGCATCATGCAACCAACAACGGCTGCCAAACTGGGTTTTGATCTGCATTGAACATCAAGAGCAAAATAAATAAATAAAAATACATTTTATATTGCTGTGTATCATGCACAATCCACAGTCGATAGCCAGGACGAGAATCCAATGTAAGAATGATGACAAATATTTGACTAGTATACAGGAAAGGTCTTGAGAAAATTCATAAATGCCCGTATAGAAACAGGACTAGTATCTAGCAGCATTTACAAGCAAATCCCCAATTATGTTTGCAAGGAAAGCAAGCAGAACTAATCCCCAGGGGCACCTACACCCACTTAGAGACAGCGTTAGCTAAGGAAACAGGTCAAAGGATCTTGCGAGGGAGCTGATCCCTCAGGGATCAATCACCTTGGTTACCAGAAAGAATCTAAATCACAACCATCGAATATTCAATACCGAGTCGACAGAAGCAGCTTTGGAGCTCCTAATGTCATATGATTGTTCACCAAAAAAACTCGCTGTTAGAAGTTACAGAGCTCTACTCCCAGCGGCTCACTTTGTTTACTAGTTTAATCCACTAACTTCATTCAAATTCTTTTTTTTTTTTGGAGTCAAAGTAATAAATTGTCGAGTTGTATAACATAGGTAACAATCAATTACATGAACAAAGAATTAAAAAAAAAGAAAAAAGAAAAGAAGAAGCAATCCTTCCCTAGAACAAAGGTAAAGGGGTAAGGGAGAAAAAAAGGAAGGAGATAAATAATTAAAGATGGCGAAGTTACCTGAGGGTTGTGAGACCAGAAGAAGCACAGTGAGGGCAGTTAAAGGGGGCAGGGGTGTCTCTGAAAATAGTCTGCTGAATGGGTATGCCTTTTGGGTCGCCGACGAGGGCGCTGGGTGGGATGGCGCCGGATTGATAAGGGTTTTGGCCAACGTAGTAGGACTGGTTTTGGTGGGGCGGCGGCATAGGGGCCTCGTGGGGGTATTGGTAGGCAGCGTTGTAGGGTATACCGATCGCCGGCTCCTCATTCTTGCTACCCATATGATATGGCCCTCTTTCTTGCTAACGGGACTCTGCCGATCCGACGCGCAAAAGAAATGAAATTATTCCTGGAATTCCGTTCGTCTTCTGCAATTTTTTTCTAATAGAACTGAAGATTGATTTTGATTTCCTTTTCCTTCTCTTTTTGTTTGTGCGGACTGCTGTTGCATTCTATTGTTGACTCGTGACGCGTAATTTGTTGGAGAAAAATCTAAACTGGGGGCCGGCGGCCGGACCAGGAGGGGGATGAGGAGTGTTGATCCGGAAACTAGTCTTCTTTTAGGTGGGCCTTTCCCTTGTGACTCACTCAAAACTCCCAACCAATCTTGGATCCCAAGTCCCATTGCCAGGAGCAGGACTGAGTAAGAAACTAAGGGCCTGTTTGGAACCTGAGTTTTTTGGGAGTTTGTCTAAAATTTTACTGTAGTGCACTGTAGAAGTTTTTAAAAAATTTTTGTAGAAGTTTTTGTAAGGTAAAAAATTTTTTTATAGAAGTTTTTGTAATGTGAAAAATTTTGTAGAAGTTTTGGTAGGGTGAATTTTTTGTTCCTTTTCTTTTTTTCTTTTTCTCTTTCTCTTTCTTTTTCTTTTTCTTTCTTTCATTTTTCTTCTTCTTCTTCTTCTTCTTCTTTTTCTTCTTCCCCTTACCCGTTACCTCTGCCTCCCACCTCCGCTCCTCTGCTAGCACCACCTCTCTTTTTTTTTTTTTTCTTTTCTCCTCTCCCCCCTCCCTCTCCCTCCCCCGCCACCCCTTTCCTCCCCTCTCCCCTGCCACCCCCTCCCACTCCCTTCCCCATTCCCCCCCTCTGCCCGCCACCCCTCTTGGGCCGCCATCCCTCCCACTCCCTTCCCCGCCACCCCCTATGCCCATCATCCCTTTCCTCCCCTCTCCCCCACTCCCTCAGCCCCTTCCCCTCTGCCCTGCAACTCTTCTCCCCCGCCACCCCCTCAGCCCCTTCCCCCTCTGCCCCCGCCACTCCTCTCCCCCCGGACGACTGTGCCTGCAATTAGGATGAGGATAAAGCACGAGGCGCGGATGGAGCTATCAAATGGGGTGAAATTGGAAGGGGCGACGTTGGTTGTTGTGAGGCCCATAAATGCTAGTGGATGTGGTGGTCGCGAAGGAGGGAGTGAGACGGAGGAGCAAAGCGGGGATGTGGGATTGGCGATGGGGGCGTTCAGAGGCGATGGAGTTTATAGAGAGGCTGTTGAGAGGTTGCTCAAATGCAGGTGGTGGGTTCGGTGGGGAGGAAGAAGAAAGAAGGAGAAGAGATTTTTTTTTTTTTTTTTTATGTTTTGGATATTTTAAGTGTGTAGATAAAAAACTTTGAGAAGTTTTTTAAGGTTCCTGTAGCAAAAGTTGTTAAAAAACTAGTAGGTAAAAAACTTAGGCAAAAAACTAGCTTCCAAACAAGCCCTAAGGACGCAGCCTATGTGTGTGTATACTTTAGGAAATAAATAAATAATGAAAAAATATAGAATAACAAATTTGTTGCGGTGAAAGAATTAATTACAGAGTATTGGGAGTTTTTATTTTTTTTTAAAATTATAATTAGTAGGAAGACTTGGGGATAAATACAACAATGGTAGATGAGTAAGTAGTTATAGAATTTAAGTGTATAAAATTTTCATTACTAAAAAAGACTCTGGTACGTGCTTTAACCTTTTCTCCCATCATCAAATGGGGGTTTTAGTAGTTACAATACTTGGAGAGTTTGGGGCAATCATTTTGTCAAAATATGTTTAGATTAATTATTGTTAAAAAGTAGTTATAGAAGTTATTTTAGCAATTTGTATCTAGATAGTATGGTAATAAGTGATTTTAAGGAGGATAAGATTGAAAGTTTCTAAAGTGACCCCAAATCCCCACCTCTTCCTTCACAATAGTTCATAGTACTACAGTACTAGTTAGCTGTCGCAGCTAAGCTAGTTTCCGAATTCTGAGCACCAAAAATTGTCCAGATTTGTGTGCAAACCGTGAAGCATGTCTCTGATCAGCAGCCTGTCCCTGCATGGCATTAAGTAAAACTTTCACTTTCTCAATTTCAAGATATGTTTAGATCTATGTTTTTAGATTCGAACCCGATATTAACTCGGCCCATCTCAAGAGTTAGGGATGATCAAATTCGATCGGAATTGAATCGGACGACATCATAAATATGTCATATATATATTTTCATACATTTTTTGTAATGAAATTAAGAATGTATATGTAAATAGCTCTAAGTCCTTGGGTTGGAGTTCATAAGATAGTTAAATCTAGAATGATATTAATTACTTATGCGTAAATGAAAATAATGCAAAACCTAAAGCTGCAAATGAAAACAATAGAAGAAATTTATGTGTAGTTGCAATTATTCAAAACATTTTGGGGTCAAAATGCAATATGTAAAAAGTTCTGTATTAAAATGGAAATCCCTATCATTTCTCCTTCCCCTCCGTCAATAGCTTTGCCGTGCATTCTTTGGCATTCCACACTTTCGGCTCCAGTTGCGTACGTCTTCCTTTATTAATTTTTTTTTCTTTTTCCAATATTTTGTTTTGCTTCATTTTTCAAGTCATCACCAATCTTCTCCTATCAAGTCATCCAGTTGCGTATTCCACACAAGTTTTTTACGCTTTGTAATCCAGCAGTTCCCTTCCCTTCCCTTCCCTTCCCTCGTCATCATGCGCGTGGCCTTTGCCCGCTCTTGGTTCTCTTGTACTACCAGTATGTTTCAGGGACCACTGACTGACTCAGTTGCAATGATGCAGAGCATTACGTGTCGCCAGGCCGCGCTTTACCTACGGTAGGTACGATGGACGGTGCCTACAATAGACAGATCCCGGGCACAACCTAAACGTTTGAGGATTCGAGAGTGGGAGCTTGGCTTTTCAATTGCAATCAGAAGGAGTGCAGTCAGAGAGAGAAGAAAACAATTACTAATAGTAGTATGCTGTAAAATGAAAATGTAATTATGAATGAGGAGGAGGAGGAGGAGGAGGAGGAGGAGAAGGAAGAATCAGAATCAGAATCAGAATCAGAATCAGAATCAGGAGTGAGTCGGACTCGGAAGCATGCATGCAGCAACAGTCGAAGGAGGGAGAAAGAGGGAGTCAAGTGCTGAAGCGTCCTGCCATACCCTCCTCAGTTGCGCTTCTTTGTTCTTTCTCTGCATTTAGTAGCCGTTTTTTACTATTCTTGAAAGCTACAGCCCTCCGTCACAGACCCGGTCCACATCTCACAAACATATGAATTGTCCAATGCATTCTGCCTGTTGAGCTTTATTAGTAAGTAGCACTACTTACTTAATACCGCCACCTTTTCTCTTGGGGCAATTTTAGGCCTGTGCCAGCGAAAAACTTATATGCAGCCCAAGCCTTTGTCATTTCCAGCATTGCCCAAAGTTTCATAGGAGAGAAGCACAAAAAATATTTATGGAAGAACCAACTGGACTTGTAAAAAATTTTTTTTTTTTTTTTTGGTTGCAATTTGCCTGACCAAAAGTGTATATTTGATCAGTCAATATGGAAAATGGAATGGAAGTAATTCGAGAAATTAGTTAATACCACGTGCTATGATGCAAGTTGGGTTAAAAAAAATATGTTTATGATGCAAGCGAAATATTATTTGAGATATTTGTGGTATCCAAACACGATGCATTTTCACACGGATCACATCTCCCAGTCCCCGGACAACTAGACCTTTTAACTTTTAAGAGCAAAATCTCCGGTCGCTTTGTCTTATGGAGTATATTTTATAGTACTACGAAACATACAAAGGAACCAAGTATGAGAGGAAAAATAAGCAAACAAATAATAATAATATAAAAGCGATGAAATCAGAGAACATAGTAATGCTCCTAAAATCTGGGTATGGAAATTGATTATAGAGAATAATCAAGATCAGCAAAACCTACTCCTGGGATGATTATAGATTTCAACATTTTTTTTTTTTGTTATTAAAAAAAATTTTATAATCATAATACAAAAACAACCGAGAACATTACAAAAATTGATTATTCAAGATCAGAATGTAAAATCAGTTAAAATAATTAACCCTTAGCGAATGGAAAGATAAAAAGCAAAATCATTCACGCGGGCGTATTCTCTAAATTTCTCAATTTCGCGTGACCGACGGAGGCAATTTGAAGCTGGCTTACCACCACCGCCATGTAGTAATTGACGCCAAAAGAATACAGTACTAGTAGTGTCCAAAACCAGGCATGAAATGAAAGAATTGTACGCGCGAGTCTGACTTCGAATGTGAAAGTTTATTGAATTGTTTTATCATCTTAAACAGAAAAGAGAATAAAATACTAGCAGTATCAACCTTTACGGGCCTGAAATAAGGTGATAAAAAAGAAAAAAAAAATCTTGTACAAGTATCCAGGCCGAAAGGCATAAGAATCTGCCTCCCTCTTCCCTCCCACCTGCAGCCAACATCCGAAAGGCATCGTCCAATTTCCTCTAAGATTTCCCACCCAACATCTGCAGCACATCTTTAGGTTTTGTGTTGTTTTTTTGGAACAGTAATGACAGAATATTAGCAGCGGGGGTGAGATGTATGGGCCAACTCCAACCAAAGTCCCCGTCGAAAAGGATGGCAGGCCGCTCCACCCTTTGCCCTTGCCCTTGCCCTTGCCCCGCCCCAGAAAAATAATATATATATATATATATATATGTGTATATTTAAAAAAAAAAAACGAAGGCAGATCAAGTGCGGTCGTGGTAAATTATCTCTTCCTTGAAACTCGAAAGAAAGACCCGGCATTCTTTTCGGTAATCGCAATTTCATCGGTTCTCAAACATTCGTTCCTCTGCCCTTCTTTCATCTTCTGTTACGTGTTTGTGTGTATGTATGTGTGTATATATATATATATATATATATATATATCTCTGACGACGCCAAATATGAAATACCAGTTGCAAACTCGAACTGCAAATACAACATTTAAAAAAAGAAAAGAAAAAGAAGACAAGTATGTATCAAAATCTCAAAAAGAAAAAGAAAAAAGAGGAGAGTAGCACCAGTGTCATTTGTGCCGCGACTGAGTGAGTTGTTTGTGCTACAGGTATGCATGACACACAGTCAAGCATATCAAAAGCTATCTATATCTATATAAATTTGAGAAGAGATTTTCAGGAACAAGCCTCTACAACCCTTCCCACTCTCAACTCTATTTTCCTAGCATTTTACATTTATCTTATTTCGTAAAAAATATCATGGGCCCATTACATCCCCACGTTTCCCTCAAATAAGAAGTTAATTCCAACTAAAACTCCCACGTTCTCTCAAACAAAAATGTAACTTCCACTTACATTAAAACTCTAACACTCCCACGTTCCCTCAAACAAAAAAATAACTTCCACTTACATTAAAACTCTTCCCACTTACAATATAGTTGGTACTTGGCCCCTGATCCAACGGAATTGAGGATTGCACCTGATTTCTTCCCAACTGCCACGGAATATACTTGGTACTACTTTTGGGAATTACTACTTTTGGGAATTACTCTTACAATTTCACTCCACACCCACATTTCCATTTCAATTAAAAACCCTTTCAATCAACTTCCTTCTCGAACCTCTCTAATTAGCTTCACAATAGAACATGGCCGTTTACAGGCATGTCATCAACACCTGAATTTCAAACTCGCAAGATTGCAACGGAGGAAACATCTGCTAATGAAACGAAAAGGACGCCACCACGGTCCCGCACAAGAATTGGAACAGTTCCAACAACTTTGCGCCGAGGAAAGAGAAATCTCACATCAACTACGATGGATAAAATCTCGACTACATCAACTCAAACGCCGCGCCAATCAAATTAAAAGTTTCGGTACTATTTATTCATTTAATATTGATATTCTTTTAATATTGAAAACCTGATCATATCATGAGTTGTGCTCATGATGTGACTTATGTAGTCTTTACCCCAAACTCTTAATATGGTAACATATTGTAGTACCATCAATTTTGATCACGAAAAATAATACTACTATTAATTATGAGTTGTGATCTGTGGAGTTTCTTCGTTACTTTGAAATAAGATGTTCAGAAGGTTGACATTAAGAGATTACTACTAGCGGGTAGGTTCGTTTTTTGTGTTTTGGGTTTTTTTTTTTGGCAGATTTTGTGTCTTACTGCATTACATGTCCTTGGGCTGTTCAAATCGGGATAAAATCATGCCGTGTCCAAACTCTCTCCGGATAAAATCTTACATATATATATATTTTAAAAAAATTTTGAACTCTGGAAAAAATCCTATATTTCTTAAGCATCAAATAAAATGAATCCCCCAACATACTCGAACCTTAGTTATATATTTAGTCGCAAAATTGTCTCAACAGCTTGTGTGTGTGTTGTAGTCGATGGATCCTAGGAATGAGGTTCTAAAAAAAATTAAAATTCATGTCACATCTTGATTCTGCTATGCATGGGCACAATCCAGAATTAGATGGTTTCCATTGTTTATAAGAATCAAGTTAGAAGTTTCGCCACTATTTATTCTTTAAATATTGGTATTTTCATTATACTTACAATTATTAATAATATTTCTAATATTATAATATTATTATTGTTTTCATTGTTTATAAGAATCAAGCCGGTATTATCTATTCTTTATATATTGCCATTTTCATTATAATTGCAATTATTAATAATATTCCCAATATTATAATATTATTGCTGTTTCCATTGTTTATAAGAATCAAGTTAGAAGTTACGGTACTTATTCTTAAAATATTGGTGTTTCCATTGTTATTTCAATTATTAATAATATTTCCAATATTATATTATTATTGTTGTTTTCATTGTTTGTAAGAATCAAGTTAGAAATTTAGGTCTTATGTATTCTTTAAAATTTGGGAATATTATTGGGATTATTATTGTACTTCTAAGTATTAATAACATTCCGAATATTATAATATTATTGTTGTTTTCATTGTTTATAAGAATGTGGAAATAGTACCAATTGTTTATAAACACTTTAATAAATGCCACCGCAAGCTCCCCAATGGCTTTGTTAATATTTTACATGTTAACAAATAGTACTAAAAGCTATTATTGCAGTGGTCAATCCTAATGAATAGGATCACTACAATCTTATCTAATATCAAAGGTTAACATAAATATATTGTCATTTTTACTACCAAAATTGACAATTTGTTTGAGGCAATAATTAACATAATAAAAAATATATTTTACTATTCTAAATGTTTAATTACATATCATAAAAAATATAGTGACTCAAAACTCATATGGTCGAAATCATGCTTCACATTTCACATCGAGTTCACCCACTAAATAATGTCTCAAACATAAAATATTATCAACTACTATCATAAACATTACCAAATTAAGGATAGATTTTCTCAAATCTTACTATTAAATACACATATTACCATTCATTAATTAAAAAATAATATTTTATAATAATATTTTATAGTAAAATATTTTAAATTCTTCCATAGATTGTAATTTTTTTTTTATAATGTAAGCACCGTGCGTAGCACGGGTATTCACACTAGTTAGTATAATTATTGGCTTTGACGACTCTCTCTCTCTCTCTCTCTCTCTCTCTCACTCACTTACAAGTTACAAGGAATCTTTTGTCTATATAGATATAGATATAATCAATATCATATTTCGTTTACTTTTAACATCAATATCAATAAATAAATAAAAATAGGAGAAGGTTTTCGACCAACACATTTTTCTTTTTCCTACATGAAAATGTAAAATCAGTGGACCTTATCTGCCTACACTAGTACATGCAGGTCTTGCCTCCTCCTCCTCCTCCATCTTTCTCTCTTTATCTAATCATCTGCGTCCAGCCCCAACCAATTCTTCTTGTTTGGATAACTCATCTTGTATTTGCCCCCCAAAAAATAAAAATAAAATTATCGGTATCATAAACGCTTATAATTTTATCTTCCTAATCGGCTTAATTAAATAGGTCCCATCTAGTTTCTGGGGCAGTAGAATAATGTGTTTTGATCGAGGGAAGAAAGCATCAATAATTAGTAATTTTTCCAAAAAAAAAAAAAAAAAGAAATGATGGTGAGGAGGTGTGGTCGCGTGGCGCGGCACAGCGCGTAAAATGGATAAAATGTGTGGTGCAGGACCCCAAAAAAAATTTAAAAAAAAGGACGGGAAAGTGGGCTATGGTTTTTGGAGGGGGTTCGCACTTACAGAGGAGACGTGGGGTGGGACAGCCTGTTGAGGGAGGAGTACCTGATTCGCTTTTGAAAGATTCCCCCACGCGCATTCGCATTTTGAGTCCTCCATTCCCAGCCCAATAAAGACTGACCCTCCGATTCCTTCGTTCCGGTGCTCCGGAAAAGGAGGTCGTCCTCTTGCATACTTGATACTCCTATCCCATCTCTACCTCTCTCTCTCTTTACTGCCTGCTACTCACTGCCATTTCCAACCTGGACTGTTCTGTTTCTTCTTCTCCAGTCCACCTTCTTCGGCTTAGTTATATAACCTCAGGGCTCGCTTGTCTGAGTTCATTCTTTGCTAAATCAAACCTCGCTTGTCAGTCAATTGCCACTCTTGATCGCCAATAGTACGTATGGTCAATTGGTTTAATTAGGGGGTAGCAGCAATAGTGTCTATATAGTGAAGGGCAATCGGGCAAACATGACAGCTCCAAACAAGGGAACGATCACTGCATCCATTGAGAGATCCCTTCGAAATTGTTCTTTAAACCATCACCAAAGCAGCAGCAGCGACACTGCTAGTGCAGGCATCATAGGAGGCCCAGCAGGGTTTGTGGCTGCTGGCGGGTCCTCGACGTCAGATTCCACCATAAATCTTGATTTCCCGGACAACGCGTTAGAGCTCCATTCTGATATCCGGCTGCCTTACTATTGGGAGCAATGCCTCGATTTAAAGGTAACACCAACGACCATTCATGATTCATCATCAGTCCTATCATTGTTCACGTACCATGTCGTCGTCCTTTTCTTCCTTAATAGTTGGTTCCACATTAATTGCATAAAATTCTTTTAACAGATCTTGCACTTACTAATGAGTATGCTATAAGTCTGTTACATGGTACCTCCTACCACTCTTGTTACCCTCCCTCTTAAATGGTCTTATATTTATTGTCTCATTGTTCATTCATTCATCGGCCCAGGGCCTTTTTTTTTTTTTTTTTTTTTTTTTTCCTCTCTCTCTCTCTCTCCCTTTTTACTTGGCAAACTGGGATGCCAAGGCCAAAACTTTGGAAATGGGCATAAAGCTTTTCTTTCTCCTTACATCTTATAAACAACAGATAAAAATTACTCTAGCAGGTATTCAGCATTTTTTTTTGGTTGTACTGTTTACTTTGATGGGGGGGGGGGGGATTTTGTTTTGATATATAGGACAGGATAACAAAATGTAAGTAAGTGTGTGTTGCATTTTCCTTGCTTTTCGGGTTGTCTGCTGTTGATTAATTCTATCATGCATTTTGTGGTCATTTGTTTAATTAATTTTTTGTTGAATCTTGGATGGGGTTTGTAATGTAGAGTGGGGAGGTGTACTATATTAACTGGAGGACAGGGATGAAATCACAAGAGGATCCAAGGACAAATCCAGAAATGCAGCATGTGAGGAATGGGGGTTTAGGTTTATCATGGTCAGAGGAGGAGGAGGATGAGGATGATAGCTGGTGCGAGAGCGAAGGGTCGTCCACGGAGGAGTCGTCTCCTTCAACTTCTTCTAGACAGCAGCAATGCCGCCGCCGCTACTCCAATTCCAATTCCAATTCCAATTCTTCTCCTTCTGGTGCTACTCCCCGTCATCGTCATCGTCATCTTCATCTCACTGCTGAGACCAACATCCACCACGACAAACCCCAAGTACTGGTGGTAGCTGGTTGCAAGAGCTGTTTCATGTACTTCATGCTCCCAAAACAGGTTCAAGATTGCCCCAAGTGTTTTGGTCAACTTCTCCATTTTGATCGATCCGAAGATGCATCTCCATGAGCCCACACCCCACCACCCCTTCCCCCCCACCCCCCCGCGCCGGGGGGCCTTTTTCGTTTCTTTTTTCTTTTTATATATTTTGTTTTTGTTCCCAAATGCTATTTATCAACGCCGTTCTCATTTTCTGGAATTTGGACCCTCCTCCTCTTTTTTTTTTTTTTTTGGGTTGGAGTAGTAGGGCTAAGCAGAAATTTATTTATTTATTTTTTTTTAAAAAAAAAAGCAGCAGAACTCAACTTTTCTCATGTTCTTTTACTAATAAATGGTCGTCCTTTTTTTTTCTTTTCCCCTTTTATCCTTATTGTAATTCTGGATCCCACATCAGTCTCGCTGGCCATCAGGTCAACTGCTTACTGTTATAGCAGTATTCATAAGTATAAAAAGAAAGGCTGATTATGATCTGCAGTAGTGAGGGAGACGTAATTGTTGTTTTCATTTCCATTTGTCCCAACAATTTAATTGGTATTTCAGGATCAAATGAGAATGCTTTGGTGCTGCCCGCCCCTTGTCTAGTTGTCTGTTTTTTTGCTCCTCCTTTTTTACTGACTGCATATATTTCCGTTGACCCATATGTGGTGGTACGGTACCAAAGTGCTAACTTCGATTGGATCTATAGGCTCAAACGTTTTCGCGCGATAATACTACTACTAACGTAGTCGCATAAAGCTCGTCATTGAGTTTTGGAAACAAGTGGCTGCTGCTGCTTATTTTATCTTGGTAGAGGTGTTTAGTAGTAGTAGTAGTAGTAGTACTGCTGTATTTCAGGTTTGCTCATACGATGGTGAGTGAAGTGGCTTCTTGAAAATGAAAGGAAGAAAATATGACCAACTTGTGAAACGTATGACAAGACTGATGCCTGCCTCTTTCTAATTTTCCCATCTTGTTTGCCTAGTAATTTTTTACTGCCAATCTCGCAACGAATGACTACTATAATCGTGTCATGCCACCTATAAAGCTTGACTTTTCTATTTATCTTCGCCCTTAATTAAAGTTTACAAGAGTGCGTGCAGTCACCGTGCGTTTAGTAGCGTTTCTGATTTTATCTGTGGTTTGTTCATTTGGATATCCGTTGTTGTTCTTCATTTGGATGGATTAATCCCTTCTACCTACGTAACGTAAGAAACAAAGCGCACGCACGCACGCACTCAATAGGCATATTTGGATTAATCCTTTCCTTGCAACCACACCTTATTACGTAGTATTTTAGAGAGAAAAAGGTAAAACAAAAAACACAAGGACGCTGTTTTGGTGCAGCAAGCCAAAAAAAAAGGAAGCAGCAGCAAATGCCGTTTACTCCAATAAAAAGGCAAGGGGCATTCATTCATTAGGGATTAGGGAAGAATCCATATGGTAATGGCAGTAGTTTATTTGTGAATGGGATCCTCTTGTTTGCCCAGTGAAAAGGGTAGAAATTAGAATCCCGTACAGAGAATGTAAATTTGAAGCTCACAAGGGAAGAGAGAATTGGTGGTCCACCGCTCCAACACATGCGTGAGCTGTTTAATTGTTGGAGAACGGAGAGAGGGAATTCATTGGACGAAAGCAAGCTAGGTTAATAATAATAAGCAGCAGGAGCAGGAGCAGGAGCAGCAGCAGCAGCAGGAGGAGAGCGTGAGAGAGATTTGACAATGGGGAGGAGGACAAAACAAAATTTTAAAGGAAGCTCAGCTTTCTTTCAGTTCGCACGGCAGATGATCAAAAGGAATCTAAGCAGAAAGGACCTAAGAGTAGAACTGTTGAACTGAGCACCATAGAAAGGGATAGATGGAGCCAGAAAGAAAGAGAGAGACTCTCAGAAAAATACAGAGAGCTGTCGTCGATCCATAGCGTTGTGGTACCAATTGGAAAACACAGTGAGTGAAGTCCTTCTCATCTATGTTTCCTGCTTGTTTCTTTTTATGTTTCTTTATCAGCACTAAAATAAAATAATTTCTCTCGCGGATAAAATATAACTTCTAATACGGGACAGACAGGATACTGTTATGTGAATTATGAAATGAAACCCGTCCAGGATATAGACTAACTGCATGCTCCTGCCTCATTTGTGTATACGTACGTATTTAGCAGTTGAGCTTCCCACCATTTTGATCTCTTTATTCTCTTTCCGTTCGACGAATGGTTCCGAGCAGGGAATCTGCCATCGTCCCCCCCCCCCCCCCTTTTTTTTTACCCTCTTTGTTTCTATCTTCCCGTCAGCATCTTCGATCGTGACACTTAACAGCTATTCTTGTCCCACAGCTGCAAATTCGATGAGACTGTGGCCTTTTTATTCTATTTTAATTTGTTTGCCTCTTTTATTACAGCTTCTTCATTCATGCTCGTCTGGAGCAAATTAGCAGACAATCAAGAATTCAAAGAAATTCATCAACGACATATATTGTGACTCCTCAAATCTCATTCCTTTGCTACAGTAGCGTTTTCGTCAATTTGCCGCACAATCACTGACGCGTTCTTCTCCTTTTTAAATACTACTACTGATTGAATGTGAACCTTGAAAAATTCAATCATAGACGACAACACAAAGAAAGGGAGTTGAATTTTTTCAAGGGCAGAGGTGAGCGTGAAAATCTGTACGTAATGATTTGCCGATGCAATCGCATGTATTGGTTGGTCGATCCTCCTGTGTTATTTCTACTCTTACTCTGACCAACCTATCTAGAGAAGGAGGACCCAACTGAATGAACTGATTAAGGAGAAGTAGAAGGAAGTGATTCCTCCCTCTGGATCAAGAGGAGCGCATGACCGCACACCTTTTAGATTATTCCTTCTAAAAGGGGTATACATTATTTCCTCCCGTACTCCTACTACACATTTTCTAGATCAAAGGGGCGTGCACTGATGCGACTGCCAAAAACCAGATCCGAGTTGGGCTGTAGCGAGCCGAGCTGAGCAGGCGCAACCGACCTGAGAGAGGAGGCCGAGCTAGCGTACCTACAAGGGAAGATCAAGTGCGGGACTGATGTCCCCGGAATATCTCCGACGATCAAGTCAGTGAGCTTATACTCGGAGCAATAGTCTAGAATACTTGTGTTTGCGTACCTTGTATAGTCCTTACGCTGATTATATATAGAGCAGAATGGGTTGCAGTTTCCTTATTGGAGTCAGCGTCCCCTTAGGGTTCGGAGTCTTCTTAGGGTTTCGTGCGGCGGCTCCTACAAGTTCGGAGACGGCGGCCCATAGGCCCATCTCAAGAATCGATAAGTAAGGCCGAGCTGGCCTCCATATGCCGAGCTTGCGCCTGCGAGTTGCGAGGTCTCACAGCCGACCTGGCGAGCAAGACCTGCCGAGCTGACACGTGGCACGCGCAGGTTCACCCCACTACACTAGCCCCCTTGAGTCTAGAGTCACTGATGAGCCATGTGGGTCTGGACCAAACTTCGAAGCGTCACGTCGGCTTCGTGCGGGACCCACAATCCCACGACCACGTATCTCCTCCGAAAAACTGCCACGTCCGCCGTCGTAACCGTCACTTCAAGGGTCACGTCCTTCATGATGGCGGTTTGTCAGCTCACGCGTCTTCCAAGGTAACTGCTCCTTTGCAATAAATCCGAATTTATTCCTCGGGACTCTCCGGCTTCCCGCCCAGGGAGCCTATAAATAGGCCCCACCAAACGTCACTTTCAAGCCTTCCTTTTCATTTTCTCTTCTCCTCCAGTCTTCCTCAGCTCGCTCCGCACTCCGTGAGGTCGTCCGAGAGTAGGATTACCTTCTAAGCACACTTCAGCTCTTCTCCTCTATCCGCCAGTAAGTCCTCTCCTTCCTTTTATGTCGTCTTCCTCCGCACACTCAGACCTTACTAGCTCAGTACCTAGGCGTAGGATTACCCGACCTGCATTCATAGAAATACCTTCCTCTAGCCCCTCTTCTTCCAGCTCGTCTGACTCTGAATATCTCGCTCCCCCAGCCCCACCTCTTGCTACAGCCATGGACCAACCTGGCCCATCTGCTCAGCCCGGGGCTGGAGCTGCTGTCCCAGGGATCCCTCTGGAGGTAGCCCCAGCTCGCTCTAGGGTAGGACCCCCTAGGGGGCCAGACATCGACTTTGGAGAAGTCGAAATTATTCCCCCCCTTCTCGACCAGGGGGACGTAGATGAGCTAGTGGGGAGGTATGACATCCTTCCCCAGTTCGAGGCTAGGGCAGCCCGGCCAGGGGAGTACGCCTGCCTACCTCCCCCCGGGTTTGTAGCGATTTACAGGGATCAGCTCGTGGCTGGCCTTCGCCTTCCTATTCCCCAATTCCTTTACGACATCCTGACCTTTTGGGGCATTCGAATCACCCAGGTCGTTCCCAACGCCATTCGGTCCATCCTCGGCTTCTTTATTTTATGCCGAGCTCTTGAAATCCCTTATTCCCTGAACTTATTTAGGTCCTTCTTTCAGATGAAGGTAAGTGGCCCAGTTCACGGTTGGTTCTACTTTGCTCGCAGGAGCGGAGGGGAACTTCCTACCCGCGAACTGTTCACTCATATGCCTTCTTCCATCAAGGGCTGGAAAGCCTACTTCTTTTTTGTGAAGAATACTGGGTTTCCTCCCCTAACCTGGAGAGAGAATACCCAAGTAACCGATCCAATCCCTTCTCCTCTGCCCGAGGCCGAGCTAGACCGCTTGGTCAGCTCGGAAGCTCAACTGAAGGTGAAGGAATTTAACAATGCCCAGCTCTGGTCGGCGGGGCTAATCCGAGCAAAGGTGAACGACCCTGCCCCCGATCTCCGACCTATCACCCCCGAGGAGCTGACAGCTTGTAATTTTCTCGACCTGCTCCTTTCCAGGAGTCCTCATCATCCTGACTGACTAAGTGTTTCTGTCCCGCAGTGAAGAGGTTTTCCCAGCTGCTGAACATTGGCGGAATTGGCAGTGCGAGCACGCCAACTCCTGCGCCTTCCACAGCGCCGAGCAGCACGGTGCCTCTACCCCCACCTGTGTCCACTCCCCAGATTGCCGCTCAGTCCTCACTGGGGGAGGGATCAAAGAAGAAAAGAAAGAAGTCCACGGCCAAGAAGGCCAGGACAGAGGCGGCTTCCCCACAGTCCCAGGAGGAGCCCTCAGCTGCCATTGCTTCTCATTATGGGGTGAGCTCCGCCGAGCAGCAGGCTTCGTCACAATCTCCCCCTGCTATGTGGCGCATGAGGAACGTGATTCCCCTGAAGCCCCCTACCGAGCTGGGCTCACACCCGCACCCCCACCATTTCTGCCCGAAGTGGGGGTTGTCAGTGAACGACCGAGCTCAGTTCCCTGAGGTGGCGAAGGAGCTCGTCAAAGGCGCGGTACTCCCCCGTGATCACCACTTCATCCAACTCGCCTCCAACGCTGAGCTGTTAGAGCACTTCTACCTCAGCACCACGCAGGTAACCTCTTAACCAACACTCTCTGACATCCTTTCGAGTTTTGCTGCCTACTTATCAGTAACTAATATGCAGCTCAACGTGGCGGGGGCCGAGCTGGCCCAGCGATATGAGAACATGGGGGTCAACCTGTCCCAGGTCGATGCTGCCAAAGAGAAGTTGTCGAGCCAGCTCGAAGCTGCAGAGTCCGAGCTGGAGACCCTGAAGAAGCAACTCGCAGATGCCAACTGCTCCTGCGAACTGGAAAAAAAGAGGGCGGCCGAACTGGCTGCGACTTTGGAGGTAGAGCAGAAAAAATCGGCCGAGCTGGTGGAGGCGGCAAGGGAAGAAGGGCGCCAGCTAGGCGTCAAAGAGTTCAAGAAGTCTGAGGTCTTCATGAACGACCTGGCCCTCCTCAATGGCCCTGTCCTGCAGCTCGGCTACACAAAAGCCTTGATGGACGTGGAGTCCCTGAAGCTGCCAGGCTTTGACCTGAGCAAATGGCCTGACTTCAACCCCCAATCTACCAACCAAATTGACAGGCTTGTCACAGGTTACTCCAATGGGCGCGACCTGGCTGCCCTGATTGCGGATCCTAATCTTCCTGCCCTCTCCCCAGAGCCAGAGCAAGAGCAACAAGGGGAGAGCTAAGCTGATAGGACTTAGACTAGCCTTGTAGGATGTTAGGCTAGAGTAGGGTCCGAGCTGTCCAGCTCGGTTTTGTATGGCCCCGTACCTGTACATGCTTTTTGATTTGGAATATATGCGGCCTTTTCCTTTCCCAACACTTGTAAAAATTTCTATTTCATTTCAAAGCTTTGAATACATTCATAATTCCCAATGCCGAACTACTAAAATAAAAGCAGACCTGTCCAGCCGACCATTTTTAGCTCGGGCAGGATTCTTAAAGAAAAAGCCTTAAATTCGAGTTGTGCCACGTGCGTGGGACTTCGCTTCCATCCAGACGAGCTAGTTTGCAATAGCCTGCTCGGCCAACTTCCCTTACTTCGTACGGGCCTTCCCAGTTCGGGTCTAACTTGCCTGTGCCCACAGCTCGGCTGACTGAATTTCTGCGTACTACCAGGTCCCCTGGTTTAAAAGAAAGATGCCTTACCCTGGCATTGTAATAGCGTGCAACCTGGCCTTTATACTTTGCCATCCTTATAGCCGCTTCTTCTCTTCGATGCTCGAGTAAGTCTAGATCGAGTCGCATCTCTTCCTCATTGCTTTGGGCCACGAAGTGCTGTACCCTGGCCGAAGGCATCCCAATTTCCGCAGGGATTACTGCTTCCACCCCATATGTTAGGACAAACGGAGTTTCCTGTGTGGCCGTCCGAGGCGTAGTCCGGTAAGCCCATAGTATGGTGGGCAGCTCGTCCAGCCAACCCGTCCGGGCTGATTCGATCCTTGTCTTTAAGCCGTGCAGGATGGTCCGGTTCACATTCTCGACCTGCCCATTGGCTTGGGGGTGCCCTACTGAGGTGAAGTGCTGCTGGATACCGAGCTCAGTGCACCACTCCTGAAGCGAATGATCTGCGAACTGCCGGCCATTATCCGAAACGAGAACCCTGGGAATGCCAAATCGGCAGACTACGTTCCTCCAGAGGAACTTATGTATCGACCTACAACTGATCGTGCTAAGTGGCTCAGCCTCTATCCACTTGGTGAAGTAATCAATCGCCACCACCAAGTACTCATGGCCACCGGGAGCTCGGGGAAAAGGTCCTAGCAAGTCGATTCCCCACTGGAAGAACGGCCACGGGCTATGAAGAGGGACCATTTCCCGAGTTGGGGCATGATGAACTGGAGCATGTAGCTGACAAGACTTACATCGAGCTACCAGCTCGGTCGAGTCCCTGAAGATGGTGGGCCAATAGTACCCGGCCAGCATTCCCTTCTTGGCCAATACCCTAGAGCCAACGTGATTGCCACAGATGCCCTCATGCAACTCGCGCAAGACATAGCTCCCCTCCTCAGGTGTCATACACCTCAGCCAGGGCTGCAAGTAGGACTTCCTATACAGGATTCCCTGCACAAGCGTGTACCTCTGCGACTTAAGGAGGATTTTGCGGGCCTCTGTCCTGCTCGGGGGGAGCTCCCCATGCGCCAAGTATCGAACAATGGGGTCCATCCAGGAGCTCACCACCTGGATGACCGCAGTACTGACCTGGTCATATGCCCGATTCCTGACGACCTCCACAACTATCTCCCGACCTAGGGTGCCAACCGAGGTGGAGGCCAGTTTGGACAGGGCATCAGCTCTCTTGTTCAGACTCCGCGGGATCTGTTCTAGCACAAACTGCTCAAACAGGCCCTTCAGCTCATGTGTCTTGGCCACGTATTTTCTCAGCGTCCCCTCTTTGACCTCGTAGCTTCCCCCTACCTGGTTAACTATCAGCTGCGAGTCGCTATAGACTTTCAACGAACCGGCCCCTAACTTCCGAGCCATCTCCATTCCTGCAATTAGAGTTTCGTACTCAGATTCATTATTAGATGCTCTGAAATCAAACCTTAACGCGTAAGGCAGCTCCTCTCCCGTAGGGCTGATTAGGAGAAGCCCTGCTCCGCATCCTTCTTTGCTGGACGCGCCATCCACATACAGCGTCCACGTGGGCTTTGTTTGCTCCGCTGTTTTCCTAGCCTCCCCGTCTTGGACTGCTGTCCCGACCAGTTCGGCCTTGGCAGTTTCTTCGGGATATGCGACCTCAGCTGCGTCTCCGACCTGTTGGACCTCCGCTGCGTCTACGGCCTGCCTGGCCTCTGCAGCCTCTCGGGTCGGTCTGGTCTCCCCAGCTTCTCTGGCCGATCCGCCCTCTGCTACCTGACTGGCCTGCGTGACCTCAGCAGCGTCTCTGGTCCGTGGGACCTCGGCTGCCTCTCTGATCTGTACGGCCTTGGCAGTCTCCGGGGTCTGTATGGCTCTGACGGCGCGCGCGTCCTCAACCTTCTTATGCGGTCTGGCCTGGTCTGTCTCCCCTCCAGTCGACCCAAAAGAGATGCCATCTGCTATGAAATCTGCTAGCGCTTGAGCTTTGATGGCCGTCCTGGGCTGATACCCCAGGTCATACTCAGACAATTCCACCGCCCATTTTACCATTCGACCTGAAGACTCCGGTTTGGACAAGATCTGCTTCAGGGGCTGGTCCGTTATGACTACCACGGGATGAGCTTGGAAATAAGTCCTCAGCTTCCGAGCTGCGTGAACTAGCGCCAAGACATATCGCTCTATCGCCGAGTACCGGGATTCGGCCCCCTGCAGGGCGCGACTGACATAATACACTGGCTTCTGTAACTTGTCCTCCTCTCGCACCAGCACTGCGCTTACAGCCCCCTCTCCCGCAGCTAGGTAGATGAACAAGGTCTCCCCCACCTCAGGAGAGGTCAGAGCTGGCAACCTAACGAGATGTTCCTTAAGCTCGTCAAACGCCTTCTGGCACTCCGGGTTCCACTCGAACTGCCGACCTCCTTTCAGGGCCTTAAAGAAAGGTGACCCCCGAACTGCCGATTTGGACAAGAACCTGTTCAAGGCAGCCATCCTTCCTGTCAGACGCTGCACCTCTTTAATATTCCGGGGTGGAGCCATATCCATGATGGCCTTAACCTTGTCCGGGTTGGCTCTCACCCCCTCTTTGGAAATCATGTACCCCAGAAATTTTCCCGACCTGACCCCAAAAGTGCACTTCTTTGGGTTTAGTCGCATGCGTGAGTGTCGAAGGATCTCGAAAATCTCCCTCAGGTCGGAGACGAACTGTTCCTGGGTTCGGCTTTTCACCAACATATCGTCCACATACACCTCCAGGTTTCGACCGATCTGATTCCTGAACAACTTGTTTACCAGCCTTTGATAGGTTGCGCCTGCATTTTTTAAACCAAACGGCATGGTGACGTAACAATATGTGCCATCCTCGGTGATAAACGAGGTCTTCTCCTGGTTGGGACGAGCCTCCACCTGGTCGGCTCCCCTCCTACGTTTGTCATCCCTCAGCCTTTCTTGCGCGCTCTTAAGGCGATTAGCCTCCTCCGCATTGGCCTTCTCATGAGCTCGGTCCAGCATTTCCCGTACCGACTTGGGAGGTCTCTCCACGAGCTCGGTGTAGAGCTTCTGCTTGCGCAGCCCGTTAATGAAGGCTGCCATAACCACCTTGTCATCTCGATCCCTGACCTGAAGGGACTCGTTATTGAAACGCACCATGTATTCACGTAGGGATTCCTCAGGCCTTTGCTGAATGGTCATCAGGTGCGCCGTGCTCTTGGAGAAGGCTCGTGATGAGACAAACTGGGCTGCGAACAGCCGAGCAAGCTGAGCAAAGGACCTAATGGACCTGGGGGGGAGCCCTTGGAACCACTGACGTGCCTTCCCCTCTAGAAACATGGGAAAAGTCTTGCACCTGACCGCATCTGCGGCAGTTTGCAGACGCATTTGGGTCAGGAACGCAAACAACTGATCCTCCGGATCCGAGGTCGCATCGTAAGGCTTCATGTTGGGTATCTTGAACTTCGCGGGCAATGGATAGTTCTCTATATCTGGCACGAAAGGGGACGCGATGTACCTGTCCGCCTCGGCATCCAAGAGCAGGTCCAGCTCGTCTTGCACCTGGAGCTGCTCTTTCCGAGGTGAGGGTTCATCCCTAGAATACCTCCGGACAGGCTCCGGGTGCTCAGTTCGGGAGTGCTTGTGAGTGGGTTCCCCCACGTCGGCGTGCTCACTTGAGGGCTCCTGGCGCACGCGTTTGAGCTGGGGGTTGGGGCTCCCCGCCCTGGACTCGGAGATATTCCGGGGACATCAGTCCCGCACTTGATCTTCCCTTGTAGGTACGCTAGCTCGGCCTCCTCTCTCAGGTCGGTTGCGCCTGCTCAGCTCGGCTCGCTACAGCCCAACTCGGATCTGGTTTTTGGCAGTCGCATCAATTGGCGCCGACTGTGGGAAACACGTAACTTCTCTTGCGAGTGATGCCAAAGACGAGGTCTCAGAGGAATGCCGATGATTCTAAGGGGAACGGAGGAAGCGGCCCCCAACAGTCTGCTCGGAGTCCGACCCCTGGAGGCGAGGGGACGGGACTCTCGCGGATCCCGCCGGAACAACTGGTTCAGGCGGTAGCAGGGAACCTGCCCACTTTCGAGGCCATTGTGAATTACCTCAAGGGGCAGACAGGAGGGCCTCTGGGCCAGGAGCCTAAGAACTCGGAGGGTCCAACCGAGTCCAGGGCGGGGAGCCCCAACCCCCAGCTCAAACGCGTGCGCCGGGAGCCCTCAAGTGAGCACGCCGACGTGGGGGAACCCACTCACAAGCACTCCCGAACTGAGCACCCGGAGCCTGTCCGGAGGTATTCTAGGGATGAACCCTCACCTCGGAAAGAGCAGCTCCAGGTGCAAGACGAGCTGGACCTGCTCTTGGATGCCGAGGCGGACAGGTACATCGCGTCCCCTTTCGTGCCAGATATAGAGAACTATCCATTGCCCGCGAAGTTCAAGATACCCAACATGAAGCCTTACGATGCGACCTCGGATCCGGAGGATCACTTGTTTGCGTTCCTGACCCAAATGCGTCTGCAAACTGCCGCAGATGCGGTCAGGTGCAAGACTTTTCCCATGTTTCTAGAGGGGAAGGCACGTCAGTGGTTCCAAGGGCTCCCCCCCAGGTCCATTAGGTC